CTACTTCCACACACTCTTGACCTTTGGGGACTATGTTCCAAGACCCCCAAGTGGATGTCTGTAACCATAGATAGGCCTGAACCCTATCTGCACTGTTTTTCTACCCATATACAACCTATGACAAATAGCACAGTAAGAAATTAACAGTAATGGCCAATAATAAAAAATAGAACATAGTGTATTAAGAGTTATGGGAATGCAGTTTCTCTCTCAAAATAGAAGTTGCATTTTCGCCTTTTTCCCTGAAGGAGGCATGTCCTGTTTCTCTTTGGCACAGCCATACTTTTCAGGCACTGTTCAGCAGAACAGGGTGACTTGAAGGCAAGCACTGAGACCCCATGGCAGAGTAGCCCAGGTGACGTGGATACACTGGCAAGGGGACAATTCAGACGCTGGGTAGCACAGAGTGGTATACTGGGAGATTTTATCGTGCAGCTTGGGAAAAGACTTGCAGTTTATAGAGTGTAAGAATTAGTCATTTCAGAAACTTCTCACGTCATATTTTTGGCCTGCAGTTGTCCACAGATAGCTGAAATGGCAGCAGGCGAAACTGCATGAGAAAGTAAAAGTGTGTGTGTGTGTGTGTGTGTGTGTGTGTGTGTGTGTGTGTGTGTGTGTATGTGTGTGTGTGTGCACGCGCGTGCATGCATGGTCTGTTTCCCAAACCATGGCTGGGCCAGTTGGTCATCTCTTGCTCTGTTATCTGCACTCTTCTAATGACATGTCACAGCTGAATCAAAGCCAAAATTATTTTCCATAGAGCCCTCATGATCGGAACGGTCTCTATTTAATCCTTTTCAGGCAGAACTGCCCTTTCTTCAGAGGTGCTTAACTCCTTCCTGTCCGTGTCTTTCAGCCCTTCCTGTGACTCACAAACAGAAGTTCATCTCTTGGAAAGATGTGAAAATGTTTTCTACTGACACGATTTTTTTCTTTTTTTTTTTTACATAATAAATTCATTTTATTTTTGATGTTTACGTAGTTGAGAGGGATGTATGCCCAGATGGACCACTGATTGCAGGGGAGGGTTGAGAAAAACGTGGATGAGACAACTGCCTCCAGTCTCCTTTCCTCCTCCTCTACCCAGCGAAGGAGGGCTGCTCCCAGCAACCCAACTGCATCAGTACACAGGAATAGGAGATGGCCACCCGATGTCATCCCAGGGTCCCCGACATGGAGCACTTAGGAGCTTACTGCTTAAGTGGTTGGTAGTTCTGAGATTCTGTTGATTTCATTGTTCCAAGGTTGAGGAACTCCTTCCAAGTCCATCTGCCAACATAATCCACCTTTCAGTCTCGTCCCAGATACTTGTTGTTAAAGCTTGTCTGTCCGGCAGAGCTGTCCAGTTTGATCTGCCCTCCATGGTATTAGATGTCTTCTGTAGGCCTCAATGAATTGGCATGTACCCCCTGAGTGCTGCGTGTGCTGTCCACTGCCCAGGACTCAGTAACTGTGGAGATCCAGTTCTGACACATGCACTCCACAGTCAGACCACAGATTCTGTGGTTTTCCTGTGGTTGCAGTTGAGTCTAATATTACATTTGGGGAAGGTCCCCAAAGAAATCTCCCCAGAGGTGACCCCAGACCTGACTCCTCTGTGTGCCAGCCAGTGTGGGGTCCGGTTCAGCTCATTATCTACATCAGCCTACTGGTTGCAGTCACCTGGGTAGTGTTCCCAGCCCCATCTCATATGCAAACCAGTGGATGCTATACACTACATACAAAAGTTAACCCAAAGTGGGTTAAGACTGAAACATAAGCTCTGAAACTGTAGAACTAAAGGACAAGTCCGTGATGTTGGTCTAGACAACTTCTTCCCATGTACCCAAAAGCACAGGTGACAAAAGTGTGCGCTAAAGGGGGCTAAGCTTTGAGACTGTAGGGCTGAGCATCAGGGATCCCGTGTGGGGAGAATGGTGACTCTTAAAAACAGTAATGTATTGTTTAGTTCCAAATTGTTAAATGTTGTCATCAAAATTGATAAGTATGAGGTGATGTACTTATTAATTAGCTTGATTAAGCGATTCCAGAAATGTAGACATCTATCACAACTTCTCATTGTACCCCATAAATAGGAACAATTGTGTGTCAATTAAAACTATGATCTAAGCAAGTTCCTCCTCTAGGAGGCCTTCCTTGACCATCCTAGCCCATCTGTCTCTATCGTAGCATCCTCTATGCTGCTTTTCTTTTTGAAGATTTATTTATTAGGCAGAATTACAGAACGAGGAGGAGAGACGGATTATAGCAGATTATCTATCCGCTGGTTCACTCTCTAAATGGCTGTGATGGCCAAAGCTGGGCTGATCCAAAACCAGGAGCCCAGGTGGCTTCTTCCAGGTCTCCCTCGTGGGTTCAGGGCCCCAATGTCTGTAGCCATCCTCAGCACCTCTCCTGGACCATTAGTGGGAGCTGGATGAGAAGTGGGGAGCCAGGTCATTAAATGGTGCCACTGTGGGACCAGCACTGTGAGTAGAGGCTTAGCCTGTAGCATCCTAACACTGGTGCCCACCCTGTGTGTTTCTTAGCGACACTTATCCCAAACCGTAAATGTGTATTTGTTCCTTTTACTGCTGTGTGAGCAGTACTGAGGCCTGGAGTGGGGAGAAAATGCAGGGACAACTTCTAATCCTGGAGTTGGTCAAAAGACCGGGCAAGGTGAAACTGGAGTACAACTGGCCAGAGTTCCTAAAGAAGGGGTTGGGGGATTGTGAACGTGGGGTCATTTCACACTCCCATTTTAGTATCTTTTCCATCCAGGACTTACAATGTGGAGGATGCTTGGCTCCTAGGATGGCTCATGGCTTGTGCTGCACTAACCTTGCATGATTGCAAGTTTGGGGCTAATTGTCTGGAAAAAACTGTGTGAGGATGCTGAGAGAAACAGGTGCATAAGAGCTGACTCTGGGAAGAAGGGAGCAACACTAGGAGGTGGGATCCACATCTGTGGGACTCTTCCCTTGAAAACACCTCCCAGTCACCTGGTGTGAACAGCTGGGGCGAAAGCAGACAAGTGCCACATGTTGCCCTGGCAAGAGTACAGAGTGGCAGGAAGATGGAGAATATCTAAAGAGACGCTGAGCTCTGTGCTCAATACGCTTAAGAGTGAAGACTCGGCAGTAGTTCTCAGTACTTAAAAAAAAAAAAAGAAAAGAAAAAGTTTATTTCTTTATTTGCAAGACAAACTGGCAGAGGAGAGACAGTATTCCGTTAGATATTTCTGTCTTACTGCTTCAAATATAATTCAGTGTGTGATGACCAAACAACATCTGTAAGGTCTTCATCTTTTGACATACACTAAGGTAAAAAATGTTTTTAAAATTTTGAGAAGTAGAGACACAGAAGGAGTTCTCATTTATTGGTTCACTCCCTCAATGTGCTCGGTAGACCAGGCCAAAGCCAGGAGCCAAGAACTCCGCTCAGGTCTCCTAAGGAGTCGCAGCTGCCAAAGCACTTGGGTCATTCACCGCCTTCCAGGCATGTTGTCAGGAAGCTGGCATAGAAGTGTAAACTGGTCAGGACATGAACCGGGCGCTCTGAAGTGGGAGGAGGAAGTCCTAGGTAGCAGCCTAACCCGCTGTGCTGGAACACCTGCCGTGTCAGAGTGCACTGTCTCGCTCTTTCTGCCCGGTTCTGCTTTCTGTACTTGCCCACCCCCGTTGTTCTGCTTGCAGGTTCCTGGGGCAGCCGGACTTTCCCACAACCCTCCCCACAACCGCTCTGTGCCCAGTGGAGAGTACATTCATCAGGATGAACCTCAGTGAATTTCAGATTCTGAGCAGGCAGTGCCTAAGTGGTGAAGACACTGATTGGGGTGTCTATCTTTGCAATTTTGAGATTGACAGAGATTGTTTTCACAGGAAACACAAGAACGTGAATCTTCAATGGAAACATGATAAGTTGAGTTCACTTTTTTATGAACTCTTTTGGTGAAGTCCTACTTCTAAAAAAAGAAAGAAAGAAAGAAAGGGAGGGAGGGAGAGAGAGAGAGAGAAGGAAGGAAGGAAGGAAGGAAGGAAGGAAGGAAGGAAGGAAGGAAGGAAGGAAAAAGGGAAGAAAGGAAGGAAGGAAGGAAGGAAGGAAGAGAGAGAAAGAAAGAAAGAAAGAAAGAAAGAAAGAAAGAAAGAAAGAAAGAAAGAAAGAAAGAAAGAAAGAAAGAAAGAAAGAAAGAAAGAAAGAAAGAAAGAGCTAGAGACTGGGAAAGAATGTTTGCAGTGTAAGTGTCTGTCAAAGCCCTTGCATCTAGAATGTGGCAGGAGCTCCTGCAAACTCACGATGAAAAGAAAAAGGACAACTTCTGCCCAAAGTCATCCGTGGTCTACAAAACTTGGAAAATGTAAATAAGTGGAAAGAAAAAAAGAGACATGTAATTACGTTACCAAGATAGAATCACTGTGCCGTCTTTATTTCCAAATTTCTGTTATTCCGCTTTTGCGTGGTGAAGTCATGCCATGCCTACAATTTTATACCAAGATCTGTTTCAACGTTCCAACGTGACGTTTGTTGAATCGCTCAGTTTGTTGGATCTTGGTTATCCGTTTTTAATGGTCACAATAGGTTCATTGAGCGAGTCTGCTTTGGTTTATTTGCTGATTGTCCTGTGGTTGGCTGCTGAGCCACTTTCCACTTATTTGGTGAGTGTCACTGCCACAATGATAAACACATTTTGCCTCAGGCGTCTTTTCCTGTTGTTTAAATGCTTTCCTTGGAATAGAATTCCAGAAAATGGAAATCAGAGGTTGACAGGGTGTACTTTTCACACATGTGGCCAAATTCCTTTCCCAGAAGATGTCCGGGTGCGCGCTGCTGCCTGCCACAGGGCAGGAAAGGGCTGTATCTGCTCGCAGTCAGGAGCAGGTCATTTCCCCTAATGTGTGTGTTGGCTTGTTTCCAACAGGTAAGCGGAGGCAGCTGAAGCCAGCCCTTGGTTATGCCAAGTTCCCTCTGCTCTGCATGCCCACAGTTTCTCCACTCACTCCGCCCAGTGACCCGTGTCACCCACTCCCGACCACGTGAGAACAAGCCATCTTCAGCTGATCGCAGCCATGAACTTCCTCCGCCGCCGTCTCTCCGACAGCAGCTTTGTGGCCAACCTACCCAATGGCTACATGACGGACCTCCAGCGTCCAGACAGCTCCATCAGCTCCCCTGCTTCCCCGGCCACGGAGAGGAGGCACACCCAGCCCCTGGCGGCCTCCTTCTCCTCGCCAGGGTCCAGCCTCTTTAGCTCCTTCTCCAGTGCCATGAAGCAGTCCCCTCAGGCCTCCTCAGGGTTCATGGAGCCCCCAGTTCCCTCCACACCTGTTGTTCAGAGGCCCCGGGTGCTGTTGGTGATCGATGATGCCCACACCGACTGGTAAGTGGGTTCTACACCTGTGAGGCCAGGACTGAGATGGACTCATCCCGGCGGAGGTGGGAGTGGGAATGGTGGGAGGAAGGACAGGAACCAGAGGGGAGACGTGAACAGCTCAGGTGACATCAACCTGGCTTAATGGAAGGGAACTGACCATTACCAAGTGCCATAATGACTATGGCTGGGCCACACCAAAGCCAGGGACCTGTAACTGTGTCTTGAGTTACCTGCATGTGTTGGGGGACCCAAGTCATCACTTCCTTGGGTGCGTCAGGAGGAAGCTGCTCCAGCGCTCAATCCAGCGCTCTGATGTGGGGTGTTGGCACTCTAGGTGGTGACTGCCCCTGCCAGGCTGGCCCTGCGTTCACGTCTAAGGACTGTGCCTACACAGATCCTCAGTGCTCACCTACAAATGCAAACTCTACTGAGCCCTGGCTGCTAGGAACGTGCTGCAGTTCTTTGGACAGCAAAGCCCAATCAGAAGGCAGGCGAGACTGGGGTGTGAACATGGGCTATTTTTCAGTGTTTTGTCACAATGACAAAATACCCAAGAGGCAACTGACTTTGCGAAGAGAAAGAATTTATTGAGCTCCTAGTTTGGAGGTTCACTGCGTTGGCCTCTGACAGAGTAGCAGATGGTCGTGGTGAGGGGAGCAAAGCAACTGCCTGGACCCAAATACAGCTTATCAAGGAGCCCTCTGAGACCCAGGATCCAAGTGCACACCAAAGAACCTGCCATCAGGCCCTGCCTCCAGATGTTTCCCTTGCCTCCTGATTGTGCTGCCCTGGGCCTTGGGGAGCAAGCCTTCAGGGCATGCACCTTTGGGGGAAATCCAACTGAACCCCAAGCCGTACCAACTTACTTACAGGATGCACTTGCTGCCAGCACCCGAATGTGTTTGCATAGAGCCCACGGGATATGTAACACACTTGGGGGCATCCGTGCCACAAGGCCTTTCTAAAGATGGGGAAATGTCTGCCATCTGTGACATTTGCCAGACTGAGCTCTTCCAGTCTCACTCAGCCACTCCTTGCTCCTACTGTGAGGTTGTTAGGAGGTGACAGCAGCCAATAAAGGCCCCAGCCCTTGTCCTCAACCCTTAGGTCTGCCATACCTGTATTTACAGCCCCATGCTATTGTGTACAGCTGTTCTGCTGGCTCCAAGACAGTCTGCTCCACACCAGAGCTGGATAGAAATAACCACCTTGCAGCCCTCCTTCAGCAGAACACTCCAGATGGCAAGCTTGCAGGGACAGAGCCTGACTCTGATGCTGGGCCAGGCTAATGCCAGGAACCAGGAACTTCATCTGGATTTCCTGTGTAGATGGCAGGGCCCACTACTTTCCCAAACATGTTAGCAGGAAGTTGGATTAGGAGCGTAAAAGCCAGGATTTGAACTACCATTCGTAGATGTCAGCTTTGTAGGCAACAGCGTAACCTGTACCTTATCAATATCAACCTCATTGACTTCCCGATTTGATGTCTTCTCGCCCAACATTGGGCACACCAGATAAGGTGGATCTCCTGGGCTAGGTCATTCCCTGCCGGTGCTTGGGTAACAACATCACATCTTGTTGATTTCTGCGATGTGTGTAGATGCACTGTACCTGTGGTTAGAATACACTGAGTGGCCTCTGCCACTGAGTGAACTTTACATTTGACTTTGACCCCAACTGTTTAACCCACAGGGCTGGCTGACGCATAAGTTTTAGGTTTTGCATGCCGAGATTGGCCAGAGAACTTTCTCACCAGGTAGTTCAGTTTTGTACCATCTACCTACTGTTTGATGAGATGCTTTTTAAAAAGTGCCTCAATTATTTTTCATTGATCATGGCCATTATTTGTTATTATTGTTTGGTTTTATTAATGTGAAAAGCAGAGGAATGGAGAGGGAGATCTTGCATCTACTGGTTCATTCTCCAGACAGCTGTAACAGCTGGGTCGCACCAAGCCAAAGCAGCATCCCAGAAGCTCGAGAGGGTCTTTCCTCAGCTTAGTGGAGGCATCAATAGCCAGGAATCAATTGCAGACAGAGAAGTTTTATTTGTGAAGTGACCAGGCGAATGTAGAAAGAAGAGGGGAAAGGGAATGACATCTCCCAGGAGAAGCCAGGAGATGAAGTGCCACTTGAAAGGACAGCGGGAGAGAGACTGAAGGTTTTCACGAGGGTCTTTGGATTTTAAGTATTCCCTAATTGCTCCTTGTTTAGGCAGGAACCTATGGGGAAGATATTCCCCATCGATGGTCTCTCAGCAAGTTAGGAAATGGCTGGGCAATTGGAGGTGTGGCCAGGATTTTAGCAGGCTTGCACAGGCTCAGTCTGCATCTCCACCTGGGTGGCAGGGTTCCAGTCACGTGAGGTGCACCTGCTGCCTCCATCCCAGGTTGTGCGTTAGCAGAGCCTGGACTTGAACCCAGCTGCTCTGAGACAGGATGTGATGTCTCGAGTGGTCTCTTTGCTGCTGCACCTGCCCTCGTTAGGGCTTCAAGACATCAGTCTTTGGTTCTTGGTGTTGTTCTTGTCCCTCTGAAGGGGAGAAGTGAGAAATTGAGTGTCCCCCCGCCACACACACACTCATTTGTCAGTTGCATCTGCCTATGTGCCTGTGTGTGTTGGAGGTTGGTGGTCTGGGCCTCCCTCCACGTCCCTCCCTTGGCACGTCCTTCCACTCCACACACTCGTGACCTCTCTACAGCGTCATACACTCCCACCTGCTCCAGCTTGGTGCTGGCTGCCTCAGCAGCTCAATCCTGTCCTGTGGAATGGCAAAATACAACCTATTCCAGGCCACCGGGAGTGGCCAGCAGGTGGCAGGCCAGCCCCACGGTGCTTGGACAGCCATGGCGAAGGAGCCGCTGTCACAGTTCAGTCCTTCCCACTGTGAGGAGATTCCTGGTCTGGACTGAGAGGACCCAGCCCCTTTTCTACCCTTCTTGGCCCTGCCCATGACCCCTGTCTCGGGCTTCCAGGGCTGAGGCCTGGCAGGTGTTGCCAGAACCCACTCCCACCAGCCTTCCTGGGGAGTCCGACTTGCAGGACTAGACCAGCCTGAGCCCACCCCTCCCCCCGGGGGTGACCAGTACCTAGCCAGAGGCCTGGGGGAGGGCATTTGTCTTCTGTGAGACATGCTGGGGTTGGTCTAAGACTGCTATTGCTGGCCAGCACTTTGAAGATGTTGCCTGCCTCAAGTTGGGGCTGCCCAGGAGGTTGGCTTGGCTAGGACAACAATGCCAGGGGAGCATGTGGGGTCAGCCCCGCCAAAGGCTGGGCATTTGAAGCTGCTGCCGTGCCCTGAGATCCCAGGGCGCAGGAGCAATCAAACTCAGGAGCTCTAAACTCTATTTCAGTCCCGCTCTGCTGCCCCGTGCCGATCTCACGTCTGGAATCCAGCAGCCTCAGTGGCTTCGGACATCCTACTCCCTACATCATCTAGCTGAAACATACGTCACTGACTCCTTACCACCTCAAGTTCAAGGTCATAGCATGGCCCTCCGCCCTCGAGCTCTGCTCCACTTCCAGAAACAGCAAACAACTTGAACTTCTCAAACACACCTTTGTACTTTAGCATATTCTGTACCCTGTGACCTGACATACCATTCGCCTTTTAAACGTTTATTTGAAAGACACACACAGAGAGAAACATCTTTCAGCCACTGGTTGATTAGAAAGCAACCTTCCATCTGCTGGTTTGCTTCTCAAATGCTGGGAGTACCTAGGTCCGGGTCAGTCCAAAGCCAGGAGTCAGGAACTACTCAGGCCATAACCTACTGCTCCCCAGACATGACAGCAGGAAGCTGGGTAGGAGGGTTAGGTTCCTGGACTCAAACGACACACACCTATATGTGGCTTCATCAGCTGTGTCCCAGTGCCCGCCCCGTCTGTTCCTGTGTTATCCACTGGACTGACTTCCACACATCCGTAGTCACCTGCTCAGGCACCCCCTTTTCTGTGAAGACTTCCCTGCCACACCCCATTCTCCTTGCTATAAAATCAAACCTGCTTATCATTCGAGGCACCTGTCACACTGCGTCACCAGGATCTCTTCTGTGAGAACAAGGCTGTTCCTTGTTCTCTGTCTGCCTGGCGCTGTACACATCTAGTTCTGTTAGCCTATGTCACTGTCCCCGTCTCACTGTGATAGGGATTACGTTTCAGGAATATGATGGGGTGACATGAAATTGACTTTGCCCTTTGGCATTAGCAACATAGAACATTCCAGAGTGCCTCAAAGAATTCATGGAAAGATGGAACTAAAAAATACGTTTGAGTGCAGATATTATTTTTACTCCATAGAGCTCTCCTAAAACTCGTAGGAACCGCTCAACATCATTTCTTTCCATTTTCCATAAACGTCCTAAAGTACTCTTTTGTGTGCTTGAGTGTTTTGTGTTTTTGTTCACCTGCGTGTGAAATCTTGGCTCTCTATTTATTCACTGTAGAGCTGATATCTGAGACTGTTTGAAAAAGAGGCAGGGTTGTTATTGTCTGTAGAATGTGCCAGAAGCCTAGGTTTCATTTTCAAAATAAAAATATTTAACAAGGCTCTCCTCTCCCATTTGCCCGCCCCACCCCCAAAGTCTGTAATCGAGGTGGGGTTGGTCCCTGGTCTCAGCTTTCCTGGAGGAGGGATGTCGGGGACAGGTGGGAGCGCTGAGGGCTTTACCCCAGCCCCTTCCCCAGGGGCTGCTGGAGCCCAGCCTCCTGTCTGCTTTGACTTGACTGGTGGCCTCGTTCCCAGAACGTCTGCTGTTTTCTTTCAAAAATGAGCTATTGTTACCTTCCTTCCCTTGTATTCCCCGCCCTTCCCTCTGGTTTCTGTTTTATGAGTTGGTGAAGAGATGACAAGGGCATCCTCAGTTGGAAGCATTCCTTAACCACCATCCTTCTGGCCTATGGCTTATCCGACTCGTCTTGCCATTGAATGATGGTCGGTGAGACCCGTTCATGTGCACCTATGCCTTTCAGAGTTCCCAGATTACGATGCCAAGTGAGAATGGTGCG